AATGGAAATATTTTACTATGTAATACAAATTTAATTTCTTATTTTTGTAGGCGGTAGTTTAAATCAACCGCTTGTCAAACCACGCACCCATTAGAAACAGGTTAAATGAGTCTGTTACTTAAAATTTTGACCAATACATCGTATAATATCGTTGACATGAAGCGAAAAATGTATTATATTAAAAAAAAGTGTGGTGGTGTGGTTTGAAACATAAATGATGGTTTCTAGCGGGTAGTTTTATAAGAGATTGATTTGGGTTCATCAGGTAAAACACTTTTATCCCTTTTAACAGTTATCCAGAAACATAAGGGACAACTGGTATATACATTATTGTATTTTAGTATACTATTGTTTAAATTTAGTATTCTGTGTGATTCGCGTTGTTCCTTTAGCGGTTTGTTTCATGACATGCCGAAAACAAAAAGCATATTTTTTGTTGAAGAAAATTGTATCCTCGGTTTCAAAGCGGTAACGACTTATAGGTATACCGCCATCAACAAAAAACTTTAAAGCGGCCGCCAAAATGGGTTTGAACTATCCCGCAATCGCCGCCAAGTGTGGCTCGAATTTAGATAGTCATAAGAATTTTGTTAAAAAGAGATAAATAGATAAAATGATCTAGGCAAGTTGTATTAAACAATAAGTCAAATATAAAGGAATACCGCAAATGCAAAAAAGATCGGCCACTGCTTGAAGTACTCGAAAAAAATTGGTGTACAAAACGAATTGTTAGTGGGAAGTCAACTAGCTAAAAACATCAACAAATCGACCTCTTTGATTTACCGCCCATAGACAGAGATATATTGTTTTACGTAAAATGCTATTCGTATATTATTCACCATTGAGTCAAAAAAATACTTTATTTCAATTCTTTTTTTCGCGTTGAATAATGATTTTTTATTTCACTTATTAATTAATATAATTAATCTTAGAAATTGAAATGTTTGTTGAATATGTTTTTCTTGCAATGAGCCTATCCGACATTTATTCTTAGTAAGTATTTAATAAAAATGTTCTTCTAATTTGTCTTACAAAGTAAAATTTTTTGTAATCTAAAGGGTCCAAATAATCCATACCTACTTTAAGTAACTAGTTAAGGCGATTTTAAATCAGTTACTAGAAATGTGACCAAGTCAAGTGTGGTCAAGGTTCTTACGTCATTATAATGACGTTCTAATAATCTGATTTAAAAATGTTTGGTTTATATTGACACTAACTTCACAATGGGTATAACATTGGCAGGTATCATGAATTTTTGTTTGTGTGTTATGTAATAGTAGTAGGATTTATTTTTGAATTTGTTGGGATAAAAAATAAATATTTGTTTTGTTTACTGATCATGGATGAAGAGAAAATTGGTATTATAGTTACTTTGGCCTCTGATTTTTTATCAAAACTTTAGCCATGTTCATTAATAAATCCTACCTTGAAAATAAATTGTCTTTTCATTTGCAGAAACCTTAAATGCGTCCATATCTAGGTACTCAGCCAGGGTTGTCAGACGTCGCGCTTTTGGCGTAATTGTCCCGCTTTGTAACTTGCTGGCACGCGTTACGCCAAAGTACAAAAATGCTCCGCATTTTACCTTATTGCTACGTTTTTTAAATTCAAAGTTATATATAATGATATTTTTGACAATGTTTGACCTGTTTTTGAGAAGCTCAGAAAAAGGAATCTGATGTAAATAAATATAAGCGGAGGACCTTTTTTTAGATCTCTACAAAATAAGGAGCTTATTTTATAAAAATACCTGTTTTTTTAACCTGATACCCTATCGTCACCATTGTCCCACTTTTCCCTTTCGTAAATCTTTCTTTCTATTTTACAAATAACACAACCAAACAATGATTTAATAATTAAAAAGTAAAAGTTTTACATTTGTCATTTCATTTGACATTTCATACTTGTGATGACCACGTTTTTACTGTAGTCATGTTAAACTTGACTATTTCAAAACAATATTCAATATGACGTCATTGTTTTTGATTTATATCAGTGTAGTCAATCATATTCAAGATATAGTATCTGATTTAAAATCGCCTTTACATAAATTAAACTGGTTGTCATAATTATGTTCATTATTAAAAAAGAAAATAAATTTAAAAAAAACATGTTTGGTATTTAAATTAATATATGTATAGGTACCTCTATTGTTTTTGAAAGTATATATAGGAAGAACGAAGATTGGTTATATAAAAATACATTTGGACAATGTGCTAAAGGTACAATTAGTAATAATTCTGGCTCATTCGCTATATTAAAAAGTCATCCTAAACCTGAACAAAATAATCGAATGACTGTTTCACTCAAAATATAATTATAAATTAAAATATCCCTAACTATGTACTATGCAAAATAACCCATTTTCTTGAAAGAAAAAAGAAAACTGTTTGTGATTATTATAAATATTTAAATATTTTAAAAGTATCAGATTGGTGTGAAGTTGACTATTATTTCCAAATATTCATTTTCTAATATCTTTGATTGGAAGTACACAAAATTATCGGCTAGTCATTTTTTTCCAAACAATTCTATAAATAGAAAAAATTTAAACAAACTAACCAATATTTAAATAATAAACACACAACATGACGCCACTGGCTCTTCCTAATTTCTTCTGCTTCTACATGTTGTAAGCGACCAGCTCGTCTATATCGGTTAATCTTAGCAAAGTAGAGAAAGATAATGAATAATTGGAATGTTGTATATTTCGTACAGAGTTAGATAATGTTATTTTTAAATATTATTTTCGTGGTATAGTAATGTCAAAAAGCATCGTATAATCAATACGCCCGGTACTCACTCATTTTTAAAAATATATTGAGATATAAAAAATATAGTAATTTTTTTTGGAGCATCTTCAAAATATCCTATTAACATTATCATGTAAAACCTAATGCTTGTCGTAATTAAAAAATACACCAGTCCTTTACATTGGCCTGACATATAGTGCTAAAGTTAAGCCACAGTCCCCTTCCATTTCTAAATTCCGTTATTTTTAAAACAAAGATGCATTTTAATAAAATATTTTTTTGCCAATACTATTTCTATTTCTACAAAAAAAAATAAGACATCGGGATTTATAATATGTATCGGCATCACTGCAATATATCCGTCGTGTCCACAAAATGCGTTCATCTCCGAGTCAGTAGCAGAAGCTTCCGTTCAAATTAGGGAAAATAGTTTTGAGAACGTTTTTAGTTTATCGCTGTTATGACGGGTTCGAATATGAGATATGTAACGGTTCCCGATCGCCGAGGAGGTCATATTAAACTGCCGCCTTAATAATACTCATACAGAGCCTGTTTCATTTAATGAATTAGAAAATCTTTTCCAAAATAATACAAATTTATTTCCAATGTTTGGAGAAATCTAGAAACTGAAAACCATTTGGAAACAACTAAATGAATAAAATACTTTTTTTTAATATATAATAATATATATACAGAGTGGCCCAAAAGTCTGAAAACGGCCAATTATCTCGTAAATTGCTAGTCCTAATTGTACAAAATTTGGGGTACACCTAGTTTGGGATACGGTGAATTCAGATTTGATATTTTCAATGTTGCCAGATTTACCGTTTTTCTTAAATTATTAGTCACTTTGGTTTTTCAAATTCATCACCCTGTATATTCAGTCACTATTGGAATCTCCTATTCAATACGAGTTCAACCATATGTAACACTTATAATTTTATGTAGTCTGAAAGGTCTTAAATAAATAAGTCTGGCAACGCCTAATTGTCTCAATACATTTTTTAAAACAAACTATTTTCAACTACATTAAAACGTAACAATTGAAAGATTATAACATTTTTAACATAATGGTTACTTTCAGTGTTCAAAATGTGCTCCATTTGTGAGTTGACAGTACCTTAATCGATGGTAGAATGCGTCTACCACATTTCTTCATGATTGTTTTATTTATTTGACCTTCCAGACTACATAAAATTATAAGTGTTACATATGGTTGAACTCGTATTGAATAGGAGAGTTCAATAATGACTGAATATACAGGGTGATAAATTTAAAAAACCAAAGTATATTTTAAGAAAAACGGCAAATCTGGCAACATTGCAAATATCAAATCTGGAATCACTGTATCCCAAAATAGGTGTACCCCAAATTTTGTACAATTTGGACTAGCAATTTACGATATAATTGGCCGTTTCCAGACTTGGGCCACTCCGTATATATATTCTCTATTGGATTTTAATTTGTTTTATGTAAAATATTACACTGTCTAAAACAATTAATGTAAACCACAGGCTGAAGGACTTCGGTCAATGGCATTTTGTAACTTTCTTTAAGTTTCAATAAAGCACTTTTTTATTATTATTATTATTATTATTATTATTATTATTAAAAGCAAATACGCTTTTTTTAGTAAAATGGTAGTTTATACTACCAGAAACATGTATACGGTACGGGGGTTTTTCATAGGACGGCAGTATACTTATTGGATACAGGAAAATAAAAATTAAAGTTTGTATTTCTTAACGTTAGTGTTCTTTATGGTGTTTCAATTATTTAAATTCATAGCACATGTGCATTTTGTGGATTAAATTACTAATATTAGTAATTTCCAATCAAGTGTCAGACTTTACAATAGTTGAAGTTTTTATCCTGCTAGAGATTGCTAAAATTAAAATTAATGCAATAAACAGTCATTCTTATAGCTGATTTTCCGAACAAATTACATTTTCAATGATGCATGTGACAAATTTGGTACTTTGCCTGTTTTATATACCAAGGGCGGGTTGTACAAAGAATGCTGTAAACTCAATTTTGCTAACAGCAGTTTATTTTTAACTGGCTATATTCAAAATACAAATGTCATTTTTAAAACTATGTTTAACAATAACTGATCATTATACAACGAAGTTCACAGATTAAACTACGTTTACATTGCCTAGTGTACACTTTGAATAAGAAAGTTAAATGGAATGGTTAACATTTTTTTTTCTAGATATTTAATTTCTATATTGTTTTTTTTTTCAGTTTAAGATTTTACAAAGAATATTTGCATTCATAAAAAATATAAAAGATCCGGTTAATAATACTCATACAGAGCCTGTTTCATTTAATGAATTAGAAAATCTTTTCCAAAATAATACAAATTTATTTCCAATGTTTGGAGAAATTAAAATATTGGATGAACATAAAACAAATAAACTAGAAACTGAAAACCAAAATGGAATCTATAAAGAAAATATTATGAGGTCTAATAATTACAATGTTCCTGAAATGGCTGAAGATATTCAACTAGATTTGTCTAACATGAAAAATTTGGCTGAAAGTTATGAAAGGCCCAAAAATATTAGTGACAGTAGTATTATATTCGATCAAGAGACTTTAGATGAATTTAAGAAATGCTATGGAAATATTAAATTAATTGCCCAAGTAAGTAATTTATCAGAATTATTAAAATACGTCGAAACAATTAATTCAACTTAAAATAAGTTGGTTTGTGTTACTCTGTCATCTTGACTTCTATCGTAATATACCTTAATCCTAAAATTTTGCAAACTGTTATCTGTAGTCCCTGTTAATGAATGTACGGAACTTCATAGTCGAATAAGGACAGGGGAACAATTGTTCAGTGGGGCATAATATATTTTTTATGATATGATGAATTAATATTTTATTTAAAAACTAATTTTAAACAATTTTGAAACATTTTAAGGTAACTATTGGTACATTTCTACAGCACCCTTGAGGTATTATCGAGGTGCGTTACAATTTTTAAGAGATGGTTTGCCAGTATAGCTCTATAACCCAGTTATGATAAAAACAAATTCTTACTTTATTCCATGCTGTGATAGGAACTGATCGGCACGAAGGCTATGAATGCCTTTATCCATAATAATTACTGACCCGGGTTCTAACAATACCTAAAAGTAGGTTTAAACCTTGATTCGAGTATGTCAGCATTTATACCTTCAAGATACTTCATTCTGTTTCTATTTATGACACTGACACAGTTTCGCCGATTCCATCTACTTTTGAAATTAGTTTAACAACAGTTTAGAGCATTCCAAATAAAATGATATAATATATGAACATTAGGTAGAACCGAAATTGGGCAAAAATTAATCATTTAACTGAGATAACATCACGATGAAATACATTTTAGTTATCAGTGAGATCATTGTTGCTGCCAATGGCATTTGTTTATAATGGACTGATTATAAATTACTCCAGTTCAGAGAAATGTCAGATGCACGTAACTTATAAAAAATAAGAATATTATATACAGTGGATGTGTCTAGAGGTATGTATGTACAATGGATATGTATTTTTTGTTTCAGTTTATGAAAGATATACATACAATAGAAGAATTCACTAACAACACAGAAGATATATTAGGAATTGGTCATAAAACAAATGATGGGTTATTAAAAGATATCTGTGAAGAAATTTGTATTATAATACGGCATCAAAAATTGTAATACTAGATCTTCATAAAACGTATGGTTTTAAATTTTTTTATTCTGTCATATTTTTGCAGAAATTTAATTGTTAAATATAGAGTTAAGATTTAATTAAAATACATAAATATTAATTTTTATTACAGTTATTTGAATTATAATTCCTCATTAAATGCATTAGGCCACAAAGAGTGAGGTGTACTTTCTCAACAAATAGAAATCTTAATCTAGTATTTTTAACAAGTATTTCTAAGGTATTCTCATCACAGAAAAAACGCCTTGACTACTATTCCGTGCAGTTTGCATAAGTGCTCGGGTATCTTCAGATGGAGATACGGGAAATTTCAGGTGTCAAGGTGTTGTCGACTATAATTTTAATCTAAATCGGCAAGATTAACAAATTATCTCTTATGAAATGTATTTTATTTAATTTACTAAATATAGGTATTTCAAAGCTCACCCCTGTGAAATCCTGAACAAAACAAAAAATATTCGAACGAAAAAAATGGCAATGGAGATGAGAACTCAATCAGACGATAACTATAGAATATGTCAAATAAATCGGAAATAATAAAAAGCTAAGTATACGAGGGTTGCCTTTTATATTGGAAAACCCTAGTGTTGCAAACTGGCAACTGACATCTCTGTCGTAAAGTTTGACATTTTTGAGGATATGCGTACTTAGAACGTTTTGACATACCGAGCGCATTTGTGTTGTTTACAGTAACTTAAAAGATTTATCTCGACCAAAAAAATGGAATTAAATCGTGAACATTTTCGTGCGATTATTTTTTACAACTTTCGACGTGGATTAACTCTGCAACAGTGCATCGATGAACTTAATTCAATTTTTGGCGTTGAAGCTCTATCAAAGACCAGTGTTTATCGATGGTATGGAGAATTCAATCGAGGTCATAGTTCGCTTTAAGACGAATTTCGTGAAGGTCGTCCAAAATCAGTTGTTGTTCCGGAAACCATTGATGCTGTGCGCGAACTGATATTGAAAGATCGTCATGTGACTTATGGTGAGATTGAGACAACCTTTGCCATTAGTGGGACCAGCATACATTCAATATCGCATGAACATTTCACTGTCAAAAAAATTTGTTCGCGTTGGATCCCACACAATTTGTTAATTGTTCAAAAAAGGCTCGTGTCGTTTGGTCGAAAGAATTGCTAAAAAAATACGATCGCGGTGATTCGAAACACGTCTATGACTTAGTGACAGGTGACGAAACGTGGATTTACGAGTATGAGTCCGAAAGTAAACAACAATCGACTGTATGAGTGTTTCGAGATGATCCAAATCCAACAAAAGTTTTTCGCGCACGAAACACTTCCAAGCAAATGGTCGCCTGTTTTTTCAGAAAAACTGGACTTGTCGCAACCGTACTACTAGAACAACGCAGAACAGTCAATTCTGAGTGGTACACAACCATTTGTTTGCCAGTTATCTTCAAAGAAATGAGGAAATCCAACCGCCGAAGACGGATCACTCTTCACCACAACAATGCGAGCTTTCACACATCGGCTCAAACAACTGCATTTTTGGACGTCGATGTGATGAGTCATCCGCCGTATAGTCCTGACTTGGCACCGAATGACTTTTTATTCTCCTACGTAATTTATAAACTGAGAGGTCCACGTTTTTTGACACCTGAAGAAGCGGTTGATGCGTTCAGAATGCATGTTTTGGAGATACCTCAATCAAAGTGGCAAACGTGCTTCGACAATTGGTTCAAACGCATGCAGATGTGTATAGATCTTCATGGAAAATATTTTGAAAAATAAAGCGAATTTCGATTATTAATATTTGTTTTTGTCCTCTAATCCTGAAATATAAAAGGCAACCATCGTACCAGGTAAAACAACTTAATTATTTTCTTGCGAAAAACATCCATGGCCAACATGTAAGGACACACTAGCTATAATCTGTTGTAGAAACCAACTGATCTGTAACATGTACTGGATAGGATATAGGCTATATTTGAAATCGTGAAAATCTGTGTCAACAAGTGGACCGTAATTGCCATGAATTGGACCATGTGGGCAAATTATGGCGGGCAAATTTCAAATTCAATAAAAAATTAAAAAAAAAATAATTTCTAAGACAAAAATTACTATTAAACTAGGGATAAATGTTTTCTACTACAAAATGTTCGATTTTACTTGTAATAATAAAGTTTTGTCGTATTTTGACATAATCTAACCTTCTTTAGTCTTCTAAACTTTTGTCAATTTCTAGCCTCTATCCAGTATTAACTCCAGCTTTGAACATTACTACAATCATACATACCTAAGAGTAGATATTTGTTTTTCTTGATCATCTAAACCGTTAATGTAGAGTACAGTTCTGTTATCTCTGGTACAGTTACTTTTTTCACTGTCTTCCAAAAAAGCAATTCGCCGTATTTTTTACATAAAATTAAGTAACAAATTGAAATAGGTTACGTTATAACATCCATATTGTTTGCCCATAAAGGCCAATTTTTCAAAACTCTTAGTGTAAAAACCAGACCAAGTTACCAATGGGGTCTAAATGTTTACTAGTTCTTTTAAATAAAATTTTAATCAGACAAAACTAAAGCATAACAAAAAAATGTACTAAATCCTGAAAAACTGTTTTTTTGCTGATAGGTGTATTTTATTACACCCATAACGTTTGCCGAATTTAGTAAAATTAAACTGAGTAATAAAAAAATTGTAGCTATTCATAATTTTTTATTTTCAACTTTAACACCCTGTATTTCGGAATGTTTTATATACGGATGTTTCGTTGAATCGGCTTATTTCTAATCAGTTAATCTCCAGTTGCTCCACTCTTAATGGAATACCCTGTATATACCGAAATCTTTTACAGCCAAAGAAACAAATAAAAAAAAAAGAAAAATGTAATAAAAAAAGTGTTTTTATTACCTTATTTACCCTCAATACTTCATTTTAGATCTGCATCAGTAAACATTATTTAAAAAAATTAATCTTATTTATATGTACGTAAGTTGGCGGCATATGGGAAACTTTTTATGAATTTTAGGAAATAAACTTATTTTTCATAAACAGTTGCATGGTCTAAAATATGATCATCTAATATCAAATATAAAGGTAAATTTACTCTTGAGCAAAATCATATTTTTGGACAAATATCGTATACTACTCATAAAATTTGATATCAGATGGTTGAAATTTTAGGAATTAGATCATGAACAACTTTTTTTATGAAGAATATTTTCTTCACTAAAAGCATTATATTTAATAATAAAGGTTTTCCATATGCCGCTAACTTAGCATATTGAATTTGTTTTTACTATTAATTTTAGAAAAAAAGTTACTTTACATAAAAAGTTATGTACGATCTAAAACCTAAAATTCAATCATCTGATATCAAATTTTATCAGTTGTATACGGGGTTTGTCGAAAATAAAGGTATTTTATCTTGAATGACAAACCTTGTAACCGACTGATAAAATTTGATATCCGGTGGTTTCATTTTCGGTTAGACAGACCATGCACAAATTTTTATGAAGAACTTTTTTTCGTAAAATTAATAATAATTAAAATGTGCTGTCAACTTACATAGATAAACTGTGTGTATGCAACTTATTGTAATGTGAGCCATTTCATTATTCAGTCATGCTCTAGCCCTACAAGTTCCTCTCTGTCTTATTTGGCCTTTAAGGCTCAACTTGTCCGATTATTATACATAATTAAACCCCTTAAGACCAAACCTATGGGACGACTATGGCGGAGGTGATTTCGATGATGTTCGAGAAAGGACGAGATAATATTTCTGGACTGTTCGAGAAGCTTCGCGACTCCACCAAATTTTAGAAATTTGTATATAAATATTGGTGGATGAGCCATCAGGGTCAGTATTATATGAACAGTGAGGATAAATAGTAATCAGTGATATATAAACAGCTGACAATAAAGTATTGGCCTGTGAATATAAATAATGAACAATTCAAAGACATTAGAAATATATATATATATATAAATTAGGACTAGTTGTGTTATAAAATAAATAAGTGTTTAAAATAAATTATTAATAAATAAACTGTTGTTTGAAAATAAACAAACATCACATTATGACATATTGCTGATAAATATTTCAGATTATGTTTGTATCCAAACAATGTAAATTAGTCTGGCCAATTGGCAATGCCAAGGCCATAATTTTTAAATTTAAAAAAGAATATTTAAGAAAAATCAGCATTTTTGAAATATTAATAACTAAACACAAATTAAACAACAAAATAAATGAATAAAAAGGAATTTATAACATGTTGACTGCCGAAGCGAATTTTGTGGTCGGGTCCGCAAAGCTGAAGTAGTTTTTATAAAAACATTGTTTTTACATTTTATGAGTAAAGTAGTTTAATTAAATACTTAGGTAAACTACAATATCCAATAGAAGCGTGAATATAGTATATTACATTACGAGTGTTGAAAATCACTTTTCACGCAAGTGATGTACAATATTTTTCCTACGACCACAAAATAATTTCACAAAAAAATATAAAACCAGGTTATTATTATAATAATTAAGATGTATTTAAAAAAATAATCAACAATAATCGTATTTATTCAATTTTCATATTTTCTAAAAAAAAAAATTAAAAACAAAAAAAGTAAAAAAAAAAACTAAAAAAAATTCTGGTCCGCCAGAATTTGAACGCGGTCGCTCGCCAGGTCTCAAATGGCAAAGTTGATAAGTTTGACGCTCTAACCATCTAAGCAACAGGCCTTGCGTCAATTGAATGATCTAATCGGTTATGTGTGTAACAAGAATAAAGAGCAAACATATCTTAGTTACTATAAAATTATTTTAATAATAATTGTTAAAGATAAATATCTAGGATATAATTTACAACAATTTCAATAATTTATCAATCATATCGATTTTAGTATTAATATGGACATTACATAGATCAAAATAGAAATGATGTGTTTGACATTTTGTTGATAGCTGCTGCGGAAAGTAGCATATTCGTACATGGGTGGAAAGTAAATTATTATTCATACGCGTGTGATATAGGGCACTTTCCATAGGACAATATAATGTGATATGTGTCACTTTCCTAAGTGGTCGTAGGAAAAAATATATACACG